AAGAAATAATAATCAGATGTGTCAAGATATATCATTTCTTCGTCGTAATCATATATTGAGAATTCAAATTCTTCTCTATATTTTTCATTAATGATGAGTTGTAAGATTATTTCTTTTAGATCTCTATTTAAATTAATTACTTTTAGTATAGTTAACTAAAGTGCTTTCATCTAAATACCATGAGGGTTTTATCATTTTTTATTTTATTTTATGACCTTGCTCTGATACCAGTATTTTTACGGCTGTCTTGACAGGGTTGAGGAAAATTATAAACATGTTATGCAGTATAGAGAACATGTCTTTTTAATATGCCTTTGACATTTTTGTATTCAAAATACTCTTGTATTCTAATCATTTGCATATTAATACAATACATATGAGCTTTGTAGATCTTAGGCTAGTATGCAAATATGCCTTTTCCATTTCTGGAATAGCTTTATTAATATGATGTGATGTTTCCATGCTCATTTTCTTACAAGATGTAAATGATATTGAATGTCTTTCAACATAATTTTATGCTATAAGCATGTACCATAAACAAAGTGAACATTGTTTTTTATCAATCAATTATTTTAGTTTCCCTATAGGTACTAAGTATTTTCTAAGTCAAAAGAACTATATAAAATATGATATAATTTGTTTTTGATAATAATAACTACGAAATATAAAGTTTTGCGTGTATACCTTTCTCCTTTATGTTCGGTGAATAGTCCTTATCACTAACTCGGTAGTTCTCCTTCAAGCAATGAACAGTTTTTCGCTTTCACGAGCGCAATCTTATAGCTACTTCCTTATTGTTCCTTCCTAGGGATGAAGATCGCAACCTTCACTTACTACTATTCATGAAATTTAGAGAAGAGAAGTATATAAACCAAACATTTTGTTTCATAATATTATTATCACACACAAACTATATATATTTTACATATACTTAAGACATATAAGAAAATACTTTTCCCTGATGGGAGAAGTTTCTACTCACACTCAGAGGTACCTAACATTTTTCTCTAATGGATGTTTAAAGAAAGTGTAGTCTGCCTGCTAGAGTGTTTTACTTCCCCTTTTATAGATATAAGGAGAGACTCAATATTACATTTTTGTTTTGCAGGGACTTCCCTCAAAACTTTGTTATTTCTTCTTTCGTCCTTCAATCATCGTTGTGGAAGATGTTGATGGCCGACATGATTTGATTTCTCTTTTTGACTAAAGAGATAAAGTTGAGACGAGCTAAGATTCTTTTCTTCTTTTTCTTCTTTTGTCTCTTTCTTCAAGACGTAAGTGCTTACGCCTTTTATTTTATCGATATTTGACTGTTTACATCCTTGCTTTTTACAGCTTCTGGATTACTTCTTCTTTCTTCAATTATTCTTCTGTATTTGGAGAGTGCTTGTGTTCAAGAAACTTACAAGCCAATTTTCAAGTTTCTTCCGTTGCTTCTAACCTGTGAAGCTCTATATCAAGGATTTTTTCCTTCAATATTTTTGATTTGGATTTACTCTTCGTCATTAAGACCCAATCATGATCATGGTATAAGACTTTGTAATCTTCATTATAATAACGTTTGAGAATAAAATATAACGCTTTAATTCCCAAAGCTCGTTTTTTTTTATCCATTTTTTATTTAGGTGTGGGAGTTTTTTATCAACACTTGTGGCTTTAACATTAAAATCTTTTAGTTTTTCCACCGTGATATAGTTAATTGTTGGAAAATATTGTTGCAAATTTTTGTTTTCCATAGCAATGCTAAAGAATCTGCAGTAGACTCCTTCACCTTGTGCATAATTTTTTACTGAATTTTTCAATTGTTCTGATAGTTTGGATATTTCTTGTAAGTCCGGTTTGGTGTAAACTCGATCCAAATATCCAAATTCAAATAGTTGAGCTGTAAAGCCCGATGATCCATTAGGAAATATAGAAATTCTTGGAAACAAGCTAGTTGTCCCTAAGATTCCGAATGTTACTCTGCTTTCTTCTGGAAAGTTGTAAATATATCTTGTAAATGCAAGATATTATTCTTCCTTTGGATTTTGTTTTCCAACCTGAAATGATGAAAAAACTTTTGTTCCCATAGGAACTTTGTTAGAGCTGCTTTCTGGTTTTCCAGAGATAATTTTTTCAACTTTCGTTGAAGATGTGCTCTTTTCTTCTTTCGAAGAACTGGCATTTGCTTGGCTTTTACCTTTGTCCTTAGACTCAGGTTTTGGCATATCCTTGCTTACCGATGAGATGTTTGTGGCACATTGTGCTAGTGGGACATCTCCTGCCACTTTGTTGGGAGTAATAATTCCCTTTTGGATTTGAATTCCGCTTTGGATATGTAGCCAAATGTTCACATAGCAGTAAAAATTCACTCATATTTTTGGCTTGTTCAGTACTGAGCTGATTAATCTCATACTGCATCATTCTTGCCTGTTCTGACAAGCTTGTCAATTCGTCACGAATTTTGAATAGCTTGCTGCTTTTGCTATCTATGGATTTATCCACGGTTTGCATTCTTTCATATATCCTGTTAATCAGGATTTGTGTTTGATTGTCCATATTGGACGTTTCTTGATAGGAAATCTGCAAGAGAATTATCAATTCCTTTAATGTATTCTACATTAAAAGAATAAAATGACAATAGAACCTGTCATCGATGCAATCTCATGTACTGTGGTTCAGAAGGAAGTTTGTTAGATATCAATCCTGACACTTGAGTATTGTCAGTTCTGATAATAAATTATTTGGGTAAAAGAAAAGTTGAAATTTTCTTATTCCTCTAACAATTGGTAGTAATTCTTTTTCATTGGTCGAATATCGGACCTCTGCTTTGTTAAACGTTCCGCTAGTATATCTGCAGATTTCATTTAAGTCTATTTGCAATAATGCTCCCCAATGATAATCAGAGGCATCTGTTTGTAGGATTAGATTATCCTTTTCATTTGGTAATTTAAGTTTTGATAATTTTGCACATTCTTCTTTGAGTTTTTTAACACATTGTGTGTGTTCCTTAGTCCATCCAAGTCTATTGGATTTTCTTATTAATTTTTGCAGTATATTCCTTTTCTTTGCTAAATTCGGAATAAATTCACCTGCATAATTAAGACATCCTAGAAATCTTTGTATTTCCTGTTTAGTCGTTAATTTGTCCGGAAATTCTATTATCTTTTTAGATATGTGGGTCTGGAGTTCAATTCCATTTTTAGAAATAATCATTCCTAAAAATTCTATTTCATTTTTATTTATTTCTGCCTTTTTTTGGCTTAGAATAATTCCATTTTTTAAACAAATTTCTGAAAATTCTTTCAGATGTGTTAGATGTTCTTGATATGCTTTAGAACATATTAGCATATCGTCTATATAGACAATTAGAAATTCTTTTTCGGAAAATATTTTATCCATCTTTCTTTGAAAGATTTGTTGGGACATTTTTTAATCCAAACGGCATTACTATCCACTCATAGTGACCATTAGGGGTACTAAATGTTGTTAAAGGTATAGCTTTTTCTTCTAGTTTTATTTGCCAAAATTTGCTTTTACAGTCGAATATTGAAAAATACGTTTTTCCTTTTGCTAGGTTAATTAATTTGTTTTTATTAGGGATAAAATATCCATCAAAAACACATTTTTTATCCATCTTTCTTTGAAAAAAAGAGGAGGTAGTGATAAGGACTATTCACCGAACAAAAAGGAGAAAGGTATACACGCAAAATTTTATATTTCGTAGTTATTATTATCAAAAACAAATTGTATCATATTTTATATAGTTCTTTTGACTTAGAAAATACTTAGAACATATAGGGAAACTAAAATAATTGATTGATAAAAAACAATGTTCACTTTGTTTATGGTACATGCTTATAGCATAAAATTATGTTGAAAGACATTCAATATCATTTACATCTTGTAAGAAAAAGAGCATGGAAACATCACATAGCATTACATCATATTAATAAAGCTATTCCAGAAATGGAAAAGGCATATTTGCATACTAGCCTAAGATCTACAAAGCTCATATGTATTGTATTAATATGAAAATGATTAGAATACAAGAGTATTTTGAATACAAAAATGACCAAGGCATATTAAAAAGACATGTTCTCTATACTACATAACATGTTTATAATTTTCCGCAACCCTGTCAAGACAGCCGAAAAAATACTACAAATTATATCATATTTTATATAGTTCTTTTGACTTAGAAAATACTTAGAACATATAGGGAAACTAAAATAATTGATTGATAAAAAACAATGTTCACTTTGTTTATGGTATATATATATATATTTGAAAAACATACATAGAAATTATTACTATTATTAATATTTTAATTATTTTTAAAAATATAATAAATCTACGAACAAAGTCATTTTTTTAAAAATTATTTCTATTTTATCCTCTTCAAAAATAACTTCATCCGTGATTTCTGATTTTTATTTTTGTGCAAAACAGAAAAACCATGTAAACCCATGAAATATCTTTTAAAAATGCATCACATATTGGAACAAAGAATGTAACTCACATGATTCAAATAATGGATAATACATAAACATGGCTCTTAACTTGGGTTCAACAGACAATTATGTTTTTTAACTTTGAATATGCACAAGTAGGCACTTAAATTGTATAAAATTAAATAAGTAGACAAACGTGTCCTAAATGACATAATACATGTAGAATGTCATGTAGGACACAAAATTGTCATGTACGGTGCCATATAGGTAGAATGTGGTCATTTGTTCAATTTTATACAAGGTTAAGTGTCTATTTGTGCACACCCAAAGTTAAAAGTCATAGTTATGAGCTGACACCAAGTTACGAGTCATGTTTATGTATTATGTCTTCAAATAATGTAATTATAAATTTCAACAAATACATTATTTATTGTGGGGCCCATAGATTGATATAATAACTGATGAGTGATGATCCTTCAATAAAAATAGAAACGGTTGGTTCAAGTGGTTGGTTAGTTTTTACAACTTCCTAGAAAGGTTTGCCGGATATTTCCTCCGGTGAGGAAAATGATAAAGAGAAAACTGAAATTGAACGGCAGAAAAGGCGAGAGGATGCCGACCGCGGCCGGCGACGACGGCGACTTGAAGGAAGAGGTAATTGAATGGGAGATGAGGCCCGGCGGAATGTTAGTTCAGAGAAGGAGTGATAATTCCGACATTCCAATTGCTCAGAATTTGCGGATTCGTGTAGCTTATGATGCTGCAAGATATGACATCTCCATTAATCCTCACGCCACTTTTGGTAAAATCAGAGGCGAATCTAGGATTTTTCGAATATGGGTGCACCAAGAAAAATGTATTAAGTGAGAATTGATCTGAACATGGTACACCAAGAAAAATGTACTAACTGGAAATTGATCCTTAAGTTTTCAAGGTCAAAAACTCAATTAGACTTCTTATAGTACGGGTACAAGAATATAATATAATACAAATTTTAGAAAATATATACATAAAATATCTAGTTATACGAAGAGACCACGGGTTCAGATGCCCTATTATTTGCCTTTAAATTAGCCACTGGGTAAAACCTCTCTTTCACTCCTCTCCTCTCCTTTTTATTTCTACGACTTGATTTGATTAATTTTAAAATTTAAATATTATAGAATAAGTATTATAAATTGTACTATTTTTTTATATTAATATACTTAAAAAATATAAAGGTAGAATACCTAAAGATTTTGCGTTTTTTTTTTAATAAGCTGGAGTTTAAAATATTGATCCAAATTCACATAAAAATGAAAAATATCATATGAATTATGACATAAACAGTATTTAATACCATTTGCATATGGTTTTCAATTTTCATATTCATTAGGTAGTCATTTGGAAAATATTTGGTTTTAAAAAGAAAAAGACCATGTGAAGTTAAAATTGGAAAATAGTATTTAGAAGTCGACGTGAATTTCATTTGAAGAAAATGTTATAATTTTGTGAGTGAAGAGATTATTATTTTCCTTGAATACTCATCAAATTAGTATTTTAACTTCAAATTCTCTAAATTGAACTAATGGATCAATTATTAAATAAAAATGATAATTATGTACTAGTGTTTGAACATTTGTACGCAACACTATAATGCTAAATGATAATTATGGGTATAAAATGTTGATTTGGCATGAAGCAGTAGATGCTTGTATTCGTTGGTTGGTGCAGGGGAATTGAAGAAGGTATTAAGAGAAGAAATAGGGTTAGAAGCTGGAGAACAAAGAATAATATGGAGGGGAAAAGAAAGAGAGAATGGAGAATATTTAGACATGTGTGGAGTGAAAGATAGATCAAAAGTAATGCTAATAGAAGATCCAGCAAGCGAGGAGAAAAGATTCATACAAATGAGAAAGAATGCCAAAATCCAAGCAACATATCACTTCATTAACGACGTTTCCATCCACATTGATAAACTTGCTCAACAGGTACCATCATAAGTTATTGTTTCATCATCAAAATCCAACCAAATACTCCATATAACACGCAACAACTGTTGAGAATTGATTAAAAAAAAGAGTTTGAATTTTTCTTTGAAAATTCAACTAAATTCACCTTAAATATGTTGAGAATTGATTAAAAAAAGAGTCTAAGTTACTAAGTGATTGATTATTTACTGTGAGTTTAAATAAGTCTTTTACTAGAGTTGAAAGAGTCTTTGTTAGGTTGTTATTTGGTTGCTATTTTTCTGGCACTTTCCTAGTTTCTAGTCAAGTGGAAGTCATGGACAGATTTCTTCCCGAGTCTGTAAGCCTATAAAGGCAGATATTTCCAGTTAATAAAGTAAGCACTTCTACAAAGTATTTCCTTCATCTTCTTTGTGTAGCTCTAAGTTTTGTAGTTAAATAACCTCTGTTTTTCCTACATTGTGGTATCAGAGCAAGCGTTCGGTCTTTGACTGGGCAATAAAGAGATAAGAAACAACCAAGGAGTGAAGTATAAGAAGGGAAAAAAAAAAGGTTATGGCAGCAAATGGTATATCCTCTTCTTCACAACCCCTCATACCCGTCTTCAATGGTGAGAAGTATGAGTTTTGGAGCATCAAGATGAAGACCTTGTTTAGGTCTCAAGAATTGTGGGACTTTATCGAAGATGGGTTCACTGATGTAGCAGAGCCGGATGCAGAGGAAGAGAATAGATTAAAAAAAATCAAAAAGAAGGATGCAAAAGCTTTGTTCTTTATTCAACAAGCCGTTCATGAGACAATCTTCTCTAAGAATTGCAGCAGCTACTACCTCAAGAGATGTTTGGCTGATTTTGAAAACTGAGTTTCAAGGTTCCTCAAAGGTAATTACTATGAAACTACAATCTCTTCGTCATGATTTTGAAACATTGTTTATGAAAAACAATGAATCTGTGCAAGCAGAGGAAGAGAAGAGATTAAAAGAAATCAGAAAGAAGGATGCAAAAGCTTTGTTATTTATTCAACAAGTCGTTTATGAGACAATCTTCTCAAGAATTGCATCAATTACTACCTCAAGAGATGCTTGGTTGATTTTGAAAATTGAGTTTCAAGGTTCCTCAAAGGTAATTACTGTGAAACTACAATCTCTTCGTCGTGATTTTGAAACATTGTTCATGAAAAACAATGAATCTGTGCAAGACTTTTTATCAAGAGTTAGTGGAATTGTAAGTCAAATGAAATCATATGGTGAAGAGATAGGTGATAAAATTGTAGTTTCAAAAGTTTTAAGAAGTTTACCTCTAAGGTTTGATCATATGGTTGCAGCCATAGAGGAATCAAAAGACTTATCTAAGTTTTCATTTGATGAACTAATGGGCTCTTTGCAATCTCATGAGTCACGGATCAATAAGTCAACAGAGATAACTGGAGAATAAGCTTTTCAAGTGAAGGAAGAGCATCCAATTCAAAATGAGAAGTCGTTAGAACAAGGAGCACGAGGACGTGGCAGAGGCTCTTTTAGAGGCAGAGGACGTGGTAGAGGCAGAAGCCAATCTGGGTGGACAAATAGCCGCATAAGTGGAGTGCAGTGTTACAATTGTCATAGGTTTGGCCATATAGAAGTTAACTGTTGGTATAAAAATGATCAAGCTAGTTATGCCGAGGAAGAGGAAGAAGAAAGCGTGCTTTTCATGGCTCGCTCTATCACCATAGATTACAAGACTGATGTTTGGTTTGTGGATAGCGGATGCTCCCATCACATGACCGGTGAAAGAAAAGGATTTAAGGAGTTAGATGAGACAAAAAAACGGCGAATTTGGCTTGGTGATAACAAGGAAATTCAAGTCGAAGGTGAAGGTAAAGGTACTATTGTTGTCCAGACTAGTCAAGGTAAAGTGAAACTTATTCAAAATGTTTTATTTGCTCCTAGTTTGGCACATAACTTACTAAGTGTTGGGCAATTATTGAGTTGTGGATTCTCTGTCTTGTTTGATGATGTCTCATGTGTTATTAAGAATAAGAAATCTGGTCAAATCTTAGCAAATATTCACATGACATTACCATTTGAAGTTTCAAAAGTTGAACAAGCCTTGATTGTTAGTGATAAAAATCTTGACAAATCTAAGTTGTGGCATTTGTGTTATGGACACTTGAACATGAATGGATTGAGATTGCTAAGTCAAAATAAGATGGTTCATGATTTGCCAAATATAGGATCCGTTGAAAATACATGTGAAGGTTGTATATATGGAAAACAACATAGAAATTATTTTCTTGTTGGAAGATCCTTAAGAGCTACTAGCTGTCTTGAAATTGTTCATGCATATTTGTGTGGTCCTATGAATATAGAATCTCTTGCTAGTTCTCGATATTTTCTGTTACTAACTGATGATTACAGTGGGATAAGTTGGGTATATTTTTTGAAGCTCAAATCAGAAACTTTTGCAAGCTTCAAAAAATTCAAGGCATTGGTTGAAAACCAAGTTGGTAACAAAGTTAAGGTTCTGCGTACCGACAGAGGAGGTGAGTTCTTATCACAAGAATTTAAGTTATTTTGTGAAGAAAATGGAATTCACAGGGAATTGATTGCACCTTACACTCCGGAGCAAAATGGGATTGCTGAGCGGAAGAACCGAACTGTAGTGGAGATGGCCAGGAGCATGTTAACGAATAAAGATCTTCCAATTCAGTTTTGGGCAGAGGTTGTTCATACTGCAGTTTATCTGCTTAATATCTCTCCGACCAAAGCAGTCATGGGTCGGACACCTTTTGAAATCTGGAAAGGTAGAAAGCCGTAGGTAAGTCATTTGAGAATCTTTGGTTGTATTGCATATGCTCTAATAAATTCTCAACATCATAAAAAGCTTGATGAAAAGTCTGAAAAATGCATCTTTTTCAGATATTGTTCTGAATCTAAGGTTTTTAGATTGTATAATCCCACAAATGGTAAGGTGATTATCAGAAGAGAAGTTGTATTTGATGAAAACACTTGCTGAAAATGGGACAACAACAATAAAAGTTCACAAGTTACAATGGAAGATGAAGCCTTTCCTAGTGAAGAAGTAAGTCAATCTCTTGCTAATAGTCAGTCTCTTACTAATACACCAAGCCACTCTTCAGGAAACTCCAGCGACACAAGTCCAAGGTGTAGCAGCCTAACATTGATGGTGCCTCACTTAGAAGGTTCCAGTGAAACTCCTCCACAGAAGTTTAGATCACTTTCAGATATATATGAAACATGTACCTTTGCTCTATTTGGTATAGACCCAGCTAGCTTTCAGAAAGCTTCAACAAAAATGGAATGGAGGTGTGCAATGGAAGAAGAGCTTATGGCAATAAGGAAAAATGGGACATGGGACTTGGTGGACCTTCTAGATGGAAAAAATGTTATCGGAGTAAAATGGGTGTTCAAGACAAAGTACCATGTTGACGGAAGTGTGTAGAAACACAAAGCCAGATTGGTCGCAAAAGGATATTCGCAGCAACAAGGCATTGACTTTGACGAAACTTTCTCTCCAGTTGCTCGCTTTGAAACAGTAAGAATCCTTTTAGCTTTGGTTGTACAATTAAAGTGGAAGGTTTATCAATTTGATGTTAAGTTTGCATTCCTTAATGGTGATTTGGAAGAAGAAGTGTATGTAACACAGCCAGATGGTTATGTGGAGAAAGGAAAGGAGAACAAAGTATACAAGTTGAGGAAAGCACTTTATGGGCTAAAACAAGCTCCCTGCGCATGGTACAGCAAAATCGATTCACATTTCAGAGAAAATGGTTTTGAAAGAAGTAAGAATGAGCCAACTTTATATGTGAAGAAATATGAAAAAAAATGATCTATTATTGATGTGTTTGTATGTTGATGATATGATCTATATGGGTTCATCTTACTCTCTTGTATGTGATTTCAAATCTTCAATGATGAAAACATTTGAAATGACGGATTTGGGAGTGTTGCATTATTTTCTTGGACTTGAAGTGAAGCAGGAAGAAGATGGAATTTTCATATCTCAAAGGAAGTATGCCACTTATCTTCTCAAAAGATTTAACATGCTTAACTGCAAAACAGTGGCTACTCCTATGAATGTAAATGAGAAGCTGCAACTTGATGATGGTATTGAAAAATCTGAAGGAAGTTATTTTAGAAGTTTAGTTGGAGGCTTAATTTATTTGACGCACACTCGTCCTGATATATCAATTTCTGTTGGAATCATTTCAAAGTTTATGTATATGCCTTCGAAGCATCATCTTGGAGCAGCTAAAATAGTCTTGCGCTATGTTGCTGGAAATACAGGATTTGGACTATGGTACTTTCGAAGTACTAATTTTAATCTCTATGATTTTTCAGATAGTGATTGGGCAGGGAATGTGAACGATAGAAAGAGTGTTTTTGGGAACCTTTTCACTCTTGGTTCTGCAGCTATCACTTGGAGCTCAAAGAAACAATCAACAACAGCGTTGTCTTCTTCCGAGGCTGAATATGTTGCAGCAGCATCTTCAACATGTCAAGTGTTATGGCTGAGGAAATTACTTGCTGATCTTCACCAAGAACAAAAGGGAGCAACAAAAAAATTTTGTGATAATTTATCAGCAATTGCAATGGCGAAAAATCCTGTTTGTCATGGAAGATCAAAGCACATAGATATTCGACATCATTTCATCTGTGATATGATTGCAAAAGGGGTGATTGAGTTGAAGAGTGGTAGCACAGAAAAACAGGTGGCAGATATTCTTACTAAAGCACTTCCTCAGGCAAAGCACAATTACTTTATGTTATGCGTTGGCGTATGTGATTTTGAATCAAGGGGGAGTGTTGAGAATTGATTCAAAAAAAGAGTCTAAGTTACTGATTATTTACTGTGAGTTTGAATTAAGCCTTTTACTAGAGTTGAAAGAGTCTTTGTTAGGTTGTTATTTGGTTCCTATTTTTCTGGCACTTTCCTAGTTTCTAGTCAAGTGGAAGTCATGGACAGATATTATCTTCCAGAGTCTGTAAGCCTATAAAGGCAGATATTTCCAGTTAATAAAGTAAGCACTTCTACAAAGTATTTCCTTCATCTTCTTTGTGCAGCTCTAAGTTTTGTAGATAAAGAACTTCTATAGAAGGAGATGCATGTTCCCAGAAGAATTTGCAGGTATATTTTCTCATAAGTATTATTTTTGTTGAAAAAAATTTAGATGTACCAATATCTCATGCAGTTTATGGGGTTACGGATTACTTGAAATGTTATAACAACATATAAACTTTAAATCTTTCTAATGGTATAAAAACCTAAATGATTATAGGATGTCCTAGATCAAGAATCTACTACTCAATCCTAAAAATATAACATCCCACTTCTTTTACTATTCAGAACTAAGTTGTTGGATCATCAAACAAAAGGTTTTCTGAGGAGAAGTAGGAGTGTTGTGTGTGCATGTGTGTGCGTACATGAGAAACTAGTACATATTAAATTATGCACCTTATAGAACATAAGTGATGCCCGGTTCAAATCGATAATGCCTCATTTTAATCTGTTT